AGGGGGGGATGGGCTTTGATGTAGAGCAGAGGTAGCGCACCTAACGCGAGGAGTGCTCAGCCTCCTGCGTGACTAACATGTAGGCCTATGACCGATCGCACACATGGATGGGTACACTTGGTTCATGTCTGTGAATACACATGAACATGAAATTGCAAACATATACAGAATAATGCAAACAATCACTGAAGAGAGATTTTTTAACTCAAGCTTTAAATTTTAAAGTTCATTTAAAGTAAAAAAACATATTCTGTGGTCCTCTTTAGTCATGCTGTGACGCTCAAACTGTACAGATAACAGCTAGGGTATTGGAGCGATAGATTAGAAGACAGATCCCAATTTCATTGTGAGCATGTGACGTTAGCATTTAGCTCAAATAACTGCTGTACTTATTTGTAGCGTCACAGAGCGGCTAGCATTGCTGTAGTTCCCCTTCGAGGGAACTCGAACTGTGTCGGTGACGACACTATGGGAACGCCTCTGGGCATGGCAGGGCTGAATTATGAATGAAACTACTCCAATCCTATTGGTGTTGCTAGAATGGTAGCATGTGACGGCGTAACCGGAGGCGTATATAAGCACGCCGGCACACAGGACACATTAGCTTCTTTCTATTCAGCAGGCACTCTGAGTATGCTTGGAAGCTCCACTATTGCATCATCATCGTCTTACCTGAAGTCTAGTAAAGAAGCAGTGATCATGTCCGTTAAGCGTTTCCGACAGTGTGTCTTCCCTTGTCCGAAACCCTCCACCGCACGGCTGTCTACGTCCCCTCGGTGGGATTACGGCAACGTGACAGGAATCAGACAGCACGGCTACGGAGCGATGCCGCGGGTAGAGGAAGTTCTTGCTAGTTACCTTTCTCCCACCCTCGCTTCATCCCTCCGGACGCCGGCGCTCCCCACCAAGCGGTGTCGGATGACATCCGATTTGGTGGGCAAGGCCTACATGGCAGCGGATCGTGCTGGTGCCTGCCTGCACACGATGGCCGTCTTGCAGGCGTACCAGGCCGATCTTCTTCGGGACTGTGACCTAGTGGGGGGTCCCTCTGAGGAGGACCTGACCGAGCTCCGTAGAGCTACGGACTTAGCTCTCTGTGTTACCAAGGAGACGGCCCGTTCTATCGGCCGCTCCATGGCAGCATTGGTGGCTATGGAGCGCCATCTGTGGCTCAACCTCTCAGGCATCCAGGGGAAGGAGAAGCTTTTCTCCTGGACGCGCCCCTCTCTCCTACTGGCCTGTTTGGCGAAGCAGTGGATGCTGTCGTCAGCAGGTTTCAGCACGCTAAAACACAGGGAGAGGCATTTGAGCAGTATCTCCCACGCCGGTCAGGCTCCAGGACGGCGACGGCTCAGGAGAGGCGGGCACAGCCCTCGTCCAGCGCCTACCGCCGCAGCCAGAGGCAGAGCGTCGCTTCATGGGATCCCCCTCAACCAACCACAGCGAGAAGGATCTGCCTTCCCCCCCGGTGGATCCTTCAGTCTCGGCGGGTCCGGGGGAAGAGGTCCTGAGGCTTCGAGTAGTGGATGGCTATAGGCTGCAGTTCCGGGTTGGCCCCCCCATATTCTACGGGGTGGTCTGGACTGCGGTGCACGCAGGGCAGAGCCGGGTTTTGGGACAGGAATTTCGCTCTCTGCTAGAAAAGGGGCCATAGAACCCGCCGGTCAGAGAGGCCGGGTTCTACAGCCTATACTTTATAGTTCCCAAGAAGGACGGAGGGTTGCGTCCGATTTTGGATCCTGAGCCAATCTCTGAGGAGATTCAGGTTCACGATGCTCACCATCCCCGCCATCATCAGTCACATCAGTCACGATAGATCTGCAAGACACTTATTTCCACATCTCCATCTGTCCCTCTCACAGGAAGTTCCTGAGGTTCGCCTTCGGGGGTGCAGCGTACTAATATTGGGTTCTTCCGTTCGGCCTAGCACTCTCTCCCCGCATGTTCACCAAATGCATGGATGCAGCCCTGGCCCCGCTCAGGCTCCAGGGCATCCGCATATTAAACTACATCGACGACTGGCTCATCCTTGCCCAGTCTCGGGAGTTAGCGGTTTGGCATTGAGATGTCGTCCTCGCCCACCTTCAGCGTTTGGGGCTGCAGTCCATTTTGTCCTCAGTGACCAGAGTGCAGCTAGGCAGCGCCATCACTGTAAAACACTTTCAGAGGGTGTTGGGTCTCCTGGCAGCAGCGTCCAATATAATACCTTCTGGACTACTGCACATGAGAGCCCTGCAGTGGTGGCTAAAATCCAAGGGATTCTCCCCGAGGGGAAATCCGCGCCGAAAATTTTTTTCGACAGACACCTCACTCACGGGATGGGGCGCGGTCATGGACAGCCGCTTTGCAAGAGGCTCCTGGCAGGAGCATCATTTCTCCTGGCACATAAATTGCCTGGAAATGTTGGCAGTATTCAGAGCTCTGAGGAGTTTTCTGCCCGCCCTCCGCGGTCGCCACGTCCTTGTCAGAACCAACAATACGACGTGTGGTGGCCTATTTGAATCACCAGGGGGGTCTGCGCTCGCGCCTGTTATGCAGACTGGCACATCAGATCCTCCTGTGGTCCCAGCAGAGACTGCTGTCCCTCAGAGCGATGTACGTCCCTGGGACCCAGAATCAGGGAGCAGACCTGCTGTCGAGACAGGGGCTGAGGCCCGGGGAATGGAGACTCCACCCTGAGGTGGTGGAGTTATTATGCGAAAGGTTCGGCCCCACGTGGACTTGTTTGCATCTCGAGAGACTACGCACTGTCTCCTGTGGTTCTCCCTCTCGCCCCCAGCCCCGCTAGGGCTGGATGCCATGGTGCAGACGTGGCCGAGGCCGCGTCTGTATGCCTTTCCTTTCTGGAGCGGGTCCGTCAGGACGGCATCAGCCTACTAATAGTAGCCCCGTTTTGGCCGGCACGAGTGTGGTTCTCAGATTTAATATCGCTCCTGGAGGGCCTGCCCTGGCAGGTCCCTCTGAGGAGAGACCTGCTGTCCCAGGCGGAGGGCTGGATCTTTCACCAGCACCCCGCCCTGTGGCAGCTGTGGGTCTGGCCCCTGAGGGGGCGCAGTTCCTGGAGGCGGGCCTAACGGCAGGAGCTCCATCCACGAGAAGGATGTATGGCCTGAAGTGGAATGTGTTCGCCACCTGGTGTAGAGAACGGGCAGTGGACCCAGTTACCTGCAGTTCCTCCAGCACCTCCGCGGGCCTCTCTCCGTCCACACTCAAGGTGTATGTGGCTGCCATTGCAGCATTCCACGCCCCTCTGAGTGATGGGCCCTTGGGGAGGCTTCCACTGGTCGTGCGCTTCCTCCGTGGAGCCCACAGGATGCGCAAGATCCTTAAGATGGCCTTTCTCCTCGCTATCACCTTTCTGAGGAGGGTGGGGGATCTCCAGGCACTTTCAGTTTCTCCTCGATGCCTGGAGTTTGCCCCGGGGAGGGTCAGGGCCATCCTGCACCCTAGTCCAGGCTATGTCCCTAAGGTTACGTCCAGTTTGGCCGGGTCCACGGTGCTGCAGGTGTTTCATCCCCCACCTCATGTGACGGCGGAGGACGGGAGACTTCATCTGCTCTGCCCTGTCAGAGCACTGAGTATTTATACTCTGAGGTCTTCCCGGTGGAGGAAAGCAGACCAGTTGCTGGTGTGTTTCGGGTCCCCCAAGGCTGGGCTCCCCGCTTCAGCAACTGGATCATTCAGACTATTTCCCTGGCCTATCAGGTGCGCGGTTTGCCTTCACCTATGGCCGTAAGGGCGCACTACTCGAGGCATGGCGGCTTCTAGGGCCCTCCTCGCAGGGGCATCGCTCCAGGATTTGTGTGACGCGGCTGGCTGGGCCACCCCTCACACTTTCATCCGGTTTTACAGTCTGGACCTTCCTTCTGCACCCGGCATCCGTGCGCTCTCCTCTTAGTCGTGCCTCAGGTTTGTACGCTGGGGGCAGGCAGGGTTTCGGCGCGGCCTAAGTGGGTATCTCGTTCCCATAGTGTCTTCACCGACGCAGTTCGAGTTCCCTCGAAGGGGAACGCCTCGGGTTACGTATGTAACCCTTGTTCCTCGAGAAGGGGAATGAGACACTGCGTCAGTCTGCCACACCTCACCCCGCCTGGAGTGCCTTGCTTCATAGAAAAGGGCTAATGTGTCCTGTGTGCCAACATGCTTATATACGGAAACATAAAAGTGTTGTCATTTCACTCTTTTCGTATTTCCCAAAATGTTGAACTATTCCTTTAATCTAAACATTTATTAACGTAGACTACACGTTTAACTGTCTAGCATAGACTAAACAGTTAAACAGCAGTGAGTTTAAGCCTGACACCTCCAGTCATCTCAGTCAGCTTTCAACAGTAGCTATACTTCACTCTTGACACACAGAGGACCCCTGACACGATGCTGTTTTCATTACAGCCCCTCTGCCGTGTCGCCTCCGGTCACTAACATTCGTGAATAATCCATCTTGACTTCTGTGTCCCGATGAGTTGCTTGGCGGTTTTTACACGGGTGACTGACCTTGACCAATCCATGGCACCAGACATCAGGCTTCTTACTTTGTCTCTTCTTCCTCTCTCCTTGGAGAAAAATGTTTTGACAGATATGTCTGTCCACACATTTGGTACCCTACTTTAAATATCATTGAACCAGGTGGCTATTTTACCTGTTCTGCTCTCTGTAGCATACTAAATGAGCTAACATAGCTTTGATAGGGCTTGACAAAGAATGAGTCACCTTGTCTGTGTTTGAATATTCACACTAATTGAAAACCTTTTTTGACATTACACGGAAGTAAAAGTCTCTGTTTAAAACATCATAAATACTGTTCATGAATGAAAAATATGTCCTCTTGTTGCACATTATGGAGCATCGACGGAGAATGCACAATGCCAAGGACTATATTTGTTCCTGAGGCTTGTAGTAGCTGGACACACTCCCCAATCATGCCCTACCTTCCAGTTCTCTCTTATGCTGTATGACTCATGACCTTGTTTGCTGATTGGCTCTGTGTCTCCGGTTTCCAGGACGACCACTCCATGTTTTTCCAGTTTGGTCCGTCCATCGAGCAACAGGCCTCTGTCATGTTGAACATCATGGAGGAGTATGACTGGTACATCTTCTCCATTGTCACCACGTACTACCCTGGCTACCAGGACTTTGTCAACAAGGTAAATAAACATACAGACACTCTGATCATGTTAACAAGAACACTTGAACTTATAGCTTCAAGTTTTGGAAACACATTTTGGTAAATTATTTTGTGATTTATGCATCTCATCAAACAATGTTGACCCAAATGGCACCCGTTTCGTAGAATAAACTAATAAACAGTATGTACCTATGGGCATATAGCAGTCTGCCACTTATCTGCTACATTATCAATACAGCAAACCTTTATACATTAAGTACCTCTTGGCAATAAGTTTTGGCTGAAAATGGCGAGTGATGTGATCTGCTAAGATAAATTCATTTGATAAAAACTGACTCCAGAAGCAGCACTTTATTTTATTGTTTATTTAGCTTGGACAATGTACAACTGATAAAATGATCCTAACATCCTTACACTGAGGACGTGGCTGTCTGGTTTTAAGCCATAATATCAAGCTTTTGAAAATGATATGCTTCTGCAGGGTTTGATATAAGAGAGCGAGTTCCATTTTCTGATTGCTTTAATGGAAAAGGCAGATTGGCCGAACTTGTCTTTTTGAATGCAGCCACTCAATGAGGCTTTGGCCTCCATATCTCCACGGCTGAGAACAGACTCTTTAAAGGGGATGGTATGAGATCCTGAGTGACTTTGAACACCAGAAACACATCTGAAAAGAATAAAAAGATATTGAAAGTCAGCTAATCATATTTCTTAATAATGTTGCTGCAATGGCAGCGTCTTGCCTTTGAACAAATGGAATAAGAGATTACCTAATCTCCTGTAACTTTTTTTTTTAAATCGACCACTGTGTCCTACTCCCAAGAGACATGTAAAGACTGAAGAGTTTTGCAATCTGGGAGCTGGAGGAGGAGACATCTCAGTCAAGTTTGTTCTAGTATCTCTTCTTAACAACTCGACTGTGCAGCCTACACTTTTTAAATCACACCTCCCTTTCCTATCTAGATCCGCAGTACCATCGACAACAGCTTTGTGGGATGGGAGCTAGAAGAGGTCCTCCTACTGGACATGTCGGTGGATGACGGAGACTCCAAGATTCAGAATCAGCTGAAGAAATTGCAGAGTCCTGTTATTCTGCTCTACTGCACAAAGGAGGAGGCTACCACTATCTTCGAGGTGGCCCATTCTGTGGGCCTCACAGGTTATGGTTTCACCTGGATCGTGCCCTCTTTGGTGGCTGGAGATGCAGACCATGTTCCCTCTGTCTTCCCTACAGGTACACCCAAACACCAGGGACCCGTTTTGACAGACTTTCAATTTAAATTTAAATTTCAAAACACTATTTATTGCCACGGGGGCAATTGCAGAGACTCATAGATTAGTACAATTTAAATTGAGAAATATCTATCACAACAAGCATACCATAATACATAAATACATAAACAGACGTATATGAACATCGTCATTATAGTCTAATGCAGCAATACTTGAATTGAAATGAGTACATTGTCAAACATACAGTGCAAAGGTAATGTAGGTGTTATGTAATATATGTATAGTCAAGGCTTAGATGACCATGGCTTGAATCTAACTACTAGTCAGACTTCAGATGGATGTCTGAATTTATCCGTTGCACAAAGCTGTGTAGTTCTTGACCATCTTAAGTTAAGACTTCTGTAATTTGCTATGCCTTCTAGGTAAATTAACAACAATATAAAAACCAGTGGCATAAAATCTCAGAAAGATGCAATTTTTTATAGTAGCAGATCTCAGTACCTCTGCTATCTCGTCTGTCTGGGTCACTCCACAACATTGTTAGTGGACCACAAATTATGAGTCATGTTTCACTCATTTTTGTCATTTAGTCCCACTGGTCTGCAGGTGACATGGATTGTTACCATGGAAACATGGCTCTTAGTCCATAATTAGCCCCGGGATAAGGGTGGATTTTATATGCTTAAAATAAGTCTTTATTTTTGTGACAGTCTAACTTGCATTATCGAAGGGCAAAATTATAAAATATCTTTTTGAATAATAGAGGTGGTCTTACCCTTTCACGGTTTAAATAGAGATAATCATATCATCAATACAGCTAATTAAGGTTTTGCAGAGAAATCTCATTAAGTGCCAAATGTCAGATTTTGAACATTAAGTCACCATTGCCAAATTAATTATGTTGCTTGGTTTTTAATCATAGAGTAAACAAATAAGACATCTGTCACAATCACTGCTATTATTAGCAGTTTTCAAAATTGAGACCACTTTCCATAAACCTGTACCTGTTGCAGGTTGGGTCATGATTTTTTTGGGACAGTGAGGGCAACTGGAGATGATCAGCAACATCAGAGTGATTTTTCCAGGGTTTGCTCATAAACACTGACAGCTTTAATGGCCTGATCTGGAGTGATGAGGTCTCCGGCGCAGTTATGCTTGTCATTATACAGTATAGCTTTTAATAAAGTTCAGCTTTGGTGTCCTCTTACTGCTTTGCACCATTAAGCATCTTCTTTTTAACTGTAAAGCAATCCAAACATTTCCCCTCTAAACCCAACCCAGGGCACATGATGTAAAATATAATCTACATGCTGCCAGGGATGCTCTCGTTTCTGCACGGTAGTTTTCTCTCAGAATTACATCTTAATAGTTGATTCATGTTGGGGCACCCCTGTGGCAGAGGAATTTAAGGTGCTGATCATGAACCTTACCGAGGTCAGTTCAACTCCAGCTAGGGACTTTTGTTTCATTTTATTCCCCATCTCTCTGCTGTCCTTTCTCATGTAAAGGCACTTAATGTCTTTATAAAATGCAGAGTTTCTGCAGTTACATACATGAGTGACTGTGGGCTGTCAACTAATTTTTTTTAGAGCCACAGCAATTCCAGACCTTAGGTTACTAAGTGATCCCAAAGAGTTTCATGCAGTGATGTTTACAGATTTTTAACATGGGGAAAAAGAGGGTGCTGGTATCGGTGGGTACTTGAGTTTAAGTTTCAGAGTCAGGAGAGAAAACATTGGATTAGTGCTTCCTTAGTTAAACACACATAGTTTAACACTTAACCTCCTAAATCATAATATTTTTGGAAGCGCTGGAGAACACAGTATCCTTGATTGTGCAGTCAACATATAAGTATGTTATGTCATTGATTCATACCAATATATATTTGAAGTACTTTGATTTTAAGCATATGCAGTATGTACAACTTTAATGAAAGGCTGTACTGACAGGATCAGTTTCCCACCTTTGCTGGATGTAATTTACTGACCTCAACCTATCTTTAGACAGGGAATCAGATGTAAAACCAAAAGTGTCCAAACTTAAAAAATTGCTCTTTTTTCATGTTGTTGAACAAACTGTATTACATCATTATGTAGTACGTTTTGTAAAAAGTATGTTGAAATCTGGGCAAAAGTGACAGATGGGGATGTTTGCATATATGCATATATGCAAATGCTCTGGTGTATTTGCACTACGCTGTGGCAGTCAGTGCTAGGGTGCATACTGATTTCTATTAACCTCAGGTATGGGACTCAATCATTTGTGTGCCAGTTCACTTTTATATTTGATCATTGTACACCAACTTATTACACAAAACCTCACCTAAGTATGAGATAAATATGGAATGACAAGCTTTACTTTTTCAGTTCAGTTCTTATAATAGTCTGAGCTTTTGGCCACACTGGAGTCAATCATTAGGAGAATTCCCAGTGATATTGACCAGCCATGGAATATGAGCAGAAAATGCAGTTATTTATGGGTGTAAGAGATGGATGCAGACATCTGATAGCCAGCAGTTCCTCAAGCTTGGAAAGCCAAACTTAACAAAATGAGCTGAGGAATGATCATGGTCTCGACTGACGCTCATACTCAGCTATTTCTTCAACCTGTATGAGCATTTCTTTTAAAAATAGCACAGTAAACAACTCCACTATGGCTTACAACAAATTATAAAATATATACAATAATACAAATATTGCACTCTTAATTTTGTCTCAGTGTTTTGCTGCTCTTCAGCCTCCTCAAAAATGCTCTAATTTTTGTTTATCTTTTCCCCCTCTGGCTATTTTTCATTGCACTGTGCCTCTGCTTGCCCATTTGTATTCTCCCTCTCTTTTTTCCACACTTTTCTGCCTCTCACTCGCTCCTTTTCATCTTTTTCCATATTTCGTTCTACTTCTTCTTCTCCCTTCCTCTCACCTCACTCCATCTCTCTCTCTTTCCCAGGGCTTATCTCCGTGTCATATGACGAATGGGACTACAACATCGAGGCCAGGGTACGTGATGCAGTGGCTGTCATTGCCACAGCGACCTCCACCATGATGCTGGACCGGGGGCCACACACCCTGCTGAAGACAAGCTGTCTCGGGACACCTGACAAAAAGAGCTCCAACACTGGCCACTCCAAGGAAATACTGAAGTGAGTCAATGCTAAGGAGATGCATGTTCAGGAGAAAGCACAAAACAAATATTGGTGAAACTAAAATCCAATCATAGTTTTCCATTTGTAACTAGGCCTAAAATTTGTCCACACGCTGAAGCATTGCGCAAAGGGCTTTACAAAACTAAAAACACAAGAGCAAAGGTATAAGGAATGGATTAAACTGTGTGTTTATCTGCTTAAATGTAAGCTGCAAATGTTAGCATGCAAGCTAACCAGTTCACTACATGCAGTAGAAACCTAGCATTATTTCAAAAGGCAAGGCGGTATGTCATTAGCTAACTATGTTCAGGGCTGGAACATCCACCCTGTGGAAGCCAAGATGCTACTATTTAAGTGTTTAGAGTTTAGTTAGTGGCTATATCCTGCTCTTTATTTGATTTGGGGAAGTTTACCTCAGCAACTCCAACCAAACTTGTGTTAGTGTTACGTTTGACAAATTCATTAGTGATTCCTCATCTTTACTTTTCTCTTGTAAAAGTGATGCATACTGTTTTTTTTGCCATGCAAGAATAGAAAGCTTGACAGATGTAGCAACAGTAACTAAGTGGCCTTGAGGGGGGTCATTTGAGTAAGGAGTAAAGGTTTTGGATAAGGCTGCCAATTGCCCTGCAAAATGCACACGTTTGCTTTCCCATCATATTTTCAGCACAGATCATTTGTTTGTGGGAGCTGTAACTTCAAATAAACAATCAGTGCTTTTGATTAAATATTGTTTTGACTTTGAGCCCAGGTCCAGGAAAGACAATCTTCTCTGCTGGAAAAAACATGGCAAATGGAAAAGCAATGCGCCACGGTCACCTTGTTTTATAAGATTTGAAATTTACTTTGGTACAGAAACAGGGCATGATACAAAATGCAAAAAGATGGGCTGAATTAAAGCAGATGAAATCTTATTTTTCAGAGCTAAATTAAATGGCTAGTAAAGTAACAGGAGCGGAAACAAGTATAGTTTGGTATTTAGTTGGTAAAGCACCGTGCAGTACAACATGGACTACAAATATTCACAGAGATGCCGACAAGTTCCCTGAAAGAGTTTAAGTAGTTTAATTAGCCAACAAAAACTTAAAACACAAGATGAACTGAGACATTAGCTCTCAGAATTATAACAACATCTTGTCTTATCTTTAGCTTAACCCACAGCCATCTTTAAAGGAAAACATCCTTCTTTTCCCTCTTCCTCTGAACCGCCTTGTTTTGCTTTTTAGCACATTACAGAACAAGCAGGAGCATTGGAATTCAATAATTAATCCCCATTTAACTTCATGGGCCATGCTTTTACTCTTCACATTGATCAGAGATTTCACAGCTAATTGAATGCTTGGGGACAACCGGATTAATGAAAAAAAGAGCCAAAGAACACGAGTGGGGTTATCACCATAGCACACAGAAACACACGTGCAAACTCACACATATGTGTCGTGTCATTACAGCATGACATTTAACTGCTCTTAATCTAATAGAAGCTTAGACTTACTGATGTCACTCCTTACTAGATGTATTTTAGCTTATAAAACAATGTGCCTTTTATCCCTCTTTCCCCCCTAATATTTAACATTTTCTCTTTTTTTGTTTGTTTTTTTTCACTGTCAGTTTGAATTTGAGGAACGTGAAGAACTAGGGAAACATTACGCAACCTCCCCTGCCACTACTGCATTAATCTCCAGGTTGAGGATGATGCATTACTGTAAAATGTAGGCTTGTCTTTACTCATGCTTCTGTTTTTAATATCAGGGGCACTTGGGTTTGTCGTTTAGGATTCCGCCACCAATGGGACTAAGATAACAATAACACCACAGCCATGAATATTTCAATCCCCAAAGGGCGCTATCAGGCACAGGGTTAGCTCTCAATCATCCTTCAGGCACACACCTGGGACGCTACTGTGCTGTGTGTGTGTGTTGAGAGTGTGTTTTCCAACCAGCCATTCAATTTTCTCCATTCGACTGAGCAAAAGTAGAGAATTTGGATCGGTGGATTTCGGTGGTGACCCTAGAGGCTAGAAACAGCCTAACACATACACACACACACACACACAATTCCACCTATTCCATCCCCTCACCCCCAGAGACTAAAACTATAATAAGGCCATATGTCTCTGCACGGTCCTGTATAGCTACAGGCCACAGTGGGCTGCATGCACGCTGGATAAGCATGCCATCCTGTCAGCACTGATGGACGGAGATGGGAGGTCCCATTGAGTCACGCTCTCAAATTTGTTTAGGGGCTGGTTGACCTTGGGGGGCACACACAAACACATACACACAAACGTGCATATACATAAATACATGCATACACCGCGAACACTCACACACATGCAGAGCTCTACAGGCCATCCATTGTTTCCTGTCACACAGAGAGGACAGGAACGCTAGGATAATGAGAAAATGTGCTCCAAGTGGTTTTGGATGAGACGCAAAGGGGCTTGTTTGTGGATGTTGCAGGGAAAGGATGTTTTTTCTTATTTGTTTGACTGTGTATGTGCGCTTGAGTTCAGATTCCCTCTCAAATCCCCGCGCTGATATAAAATGCTGCACTGGTAGATGTGATGTAAGAGATGATTAATATTTTGTAGTGAGTTTGGTTTCATGTGATCTGACTAGACGTTTGTCTTCATGTCTGTGGGCTGGCTGCGCGCGCTCAGTCTGGGCCTTTAATGGGAAACCTTTTCTGCAGGCCATCTGACCCCAGTGCTGCCTCTCATGCATGTAAGGCAAGCATGTTACTCTCATCCTATTTCACCTATAAAATGTTTTTTTCCAGGAGAGCAGTGGTATTGCATTTCTTAATGGACACAATAAAAGTGGCTGTTTAATAAATCCTGGCTTTGTTTTTTAGAAGGCAAGGCCATTTCATTGTGCTTTTCGACATCTAGACCACAAATGGCCGTCTCTTTTCAAAGACCCTTCCTTGCCCTAGAAGTGGGTCAGACTACACGTCATGTCAGTCAGTTCCTGTTTCGTTTCCTTTTATTTATATATATTTTTTTACATCTCTTTTCTTTTGTTAACCTCTTTTCCACCGAGGTCTCTGTCTGGACTATGTGGATACCTCATGTTTTGTTCCAGAATATTCTCTGCTTTTCACCTCTTTGTTATTCTTTCTTTTACTTTTATCACTTTCTGATGCTCCTACAGGAGTCCATTCTCACTGAGAATGATTGCTGTCCTCCACTTCCCTTCTCTCTCTCTTTCTTCTTGAACTTACTGTTGAGGAGCATTAGTGAGTTGAAGGACAGGATTACTCATATTGAGCATCTCCCTGTTTATGGCTAATACCTGTGAGGGACATTAGAATGTCAGAGAAATAACCAAATATAATCAAAATTTCACATGGCCTTTTACTTATTGGAATGTTCACTTATCGGTGAATCTATCTATTACACTGTATATTCTGCTCACGACATGTTCAGTGCCGTGTGTGTAATTTATTACACATTTCGCTGTTACTAACATTTATTTTATCGTGATTATTTCATGATGTTATTCAGTTAAGACTATAACACAACTAATACTGGAATTTCAAGGCTGATACCAAGATCAATATTTGAGGGAGAGAAAAAATTTGAAAACGATTAATTTATTGTCTGATATAAATTCTTTATATAAACGCATAAACATGTCTTTCTGTTGCGCAATTCCTTGTTGCTTATCACCTGCCATATATATTGATATAACACATCTGCAATAAGCTAATATCAGCTGATATATCAGCCCAGCTAATTTATTCTTCTTATCACAGACTACCAACTGTATTAATGTAAGATACAAAACCACTTGGGCAGTGTCCTGCCAAGCTGTGCAATGTACATGGCCAACAGCTATTTTTAATATTAAGTGTTTTTTGATGGACTTCTCGTTTAATGTACCCAACAGCAGTGTTGCTCTAAAGATGTTTATGAATTTTGTTCAAATATTAGCTCATAAAAATGGGGTTGAAAGGGTTTGCACTCTTGAGTTTGAGATTTTTTCAAGAGGTGGTGTCAGGTGTGTGTAGCCAAAATAAGTCCCATATCAAAGGAAATATTGTCCTCTTACTGACAAAAATAAGAACAAGAGGTTCTTCAGATGCAAAAAGGTGAACGTTTCGGTCATAGGACCATCGTGAGCACAACTTGTGCCAGCGAATTTGTGTAGTTGTTTGAGTTTTCCTTTTGTGTGGAAGTATGCCCTGATGAGTTGCAAGAAGTAAGATGAGATCATCTGAGAAATTATTAGAAAGCTTTTTTACAACTCCCCAAAGTGCCTCCTTCATTTTTAGTATGACTAAATGACTTAAATGACTGTTCATGTGTTTTTAAAGACACATTGTTATTTCTGAGATTACAGTCGAAAAAAGTATACATGAGTATTTGAGGTTTGCAGACTTTGGAAGGTCAGTGTCCTTACCTACTCACATTTAAAATGAGAGAGGGCTCTCTGTGATTTGGTGGTCCCCTACTTCAGACTCCACAGGTAGCTGTCTGATGATTTCCTGTTCAACAGGGGTCCAGATCACATGAAGGACTCGCTTGTAAAGCTCAAAGCAATTCAGAGCCTACATCTTTTTCTATCTCTCTGTGTTTGCATTTCTGCTGTCAGAGCGGTGCCACCAGCAATAAATGGGTCAATAAATAAACAATGCCTTTATTTCTTGTGCTTAGAATTTGGATGTTTTTTAAATTCAGTTTCAGTCCCAATAAAGAGTATTTGCAAAGTTATTGTTATGTTGGAGCCGAAACTCAAGTGAATTCAAACTAATCGTGCAGAAAAGGTTTTAGTTTGTGGCTACTTCAAGGCACTTGGGAATGTAGATGTGATCAAACTGACAATCAGATACTGAACCAACAAAATGTTTAATTATGACACTGTTTGAGACACCAGCCTTCAAGCTGATCACGTAGGTAATGTAGGAAGCATACAAGTTAATAAATTATACATTCTTCTTATGGAAATTATTCTTAATATTCCTCTTTTGTTCAGTTGCAGTTTGATTATACC